GGAAAAAATAGCCACCGGGCCATGACAGCGCTAAACCACACGGTGTCAATATCGTACGAGTGATGATTGGTTGGTGTGGATGTGGCCTGACCTGACCTGTCCTAACCTAACCTAACCTAACTTAACCTAACCTTTAAATAATAAAAAAATATATGAAATAAAACATGTCAGCAGTGTGTGTTGTTGTCCCGGATGTTGTGAGTGGGGGGGAGGGGGATGGGTGAGTACGAGGAAACGAGGGTAAACAAGAGAGGGAGGAGAGGGAGAAAAGAGGAGAGAGAGAGAGAGGAGTGAAAAAGGTAGAAAGAGTGGGTGGAAGTGGTCAGGAAAACAAGGGACTCTGATGGGTGGTGGTGGGCAGAAAATGAATGAAGATGGGTGGAGAGAGAGAGAGGTGGGCTATGGTTGGTAAGGAAAAAAATTATGAAGTGTATATTGAGATTGTGTTAAGAGAGTGTGGTTAAGGGTGTGTTGAAGAGTGTAGTTAAGGGTGTGTTAAGAGAGTGTGGTTAGGGTGTGTTAAGAGTGTATGGTTAAGGTGTGTGTTAAGAGAGTGTAGTTGGGTGTGTGTTAGAGAGAGAGTGTGGTTAAAGAATTGTGTTAAGAAAAGTGTGTTAAGGGGTGTGTTAGGAAATTAGTTAAGGTGTGTTAAGAGAGTGTGGATTTGGGTGTGTAGAGTGTGGTTAAAGAATTATTATTTAAGAGAATTGGTTAAGGAAGTAGAGAAGCAGCTTTTTACTAATGTACGTGCTCAGATTACCACCCCCACTACCAACACTCACCACTACCAACACACTCATCACTACCACACCCATCACCACACTCTCTCTTCTGTGTGGGTGTAACTTGGCGGGTGTGTTCCTCTCCCAGCCTTAGTACAACTGGAGGAAAGTGTGGGATTACTTTGATTACAAACCCTTATCTGAGTAGTTATGTTCGGAACACCACCTGAAGATTAGGCACTCTAACGTAACCTAACCTAACTTTCACAGGTAGGGTTAGGTTACGTTAGGTTAGGTTAGGTTACGTTAGGTTAGGTTATGTTACGTTAGGTTTGGTTAGGTTAGGTTACGTTAGGTTTGGTTAGGTTAGGTTACGTTAGGTTTGGTTAGGTTACGTTAGGTTTGGTTTGGTTAGGTTAGGTTACGTTAGGTTTGGTTAGGTTAGGTTAGATTTTACACAAGGTAGTTTAATCACCTGGTGTAATAAGCTTGGGTGTCTAATCTTCAGGTGATCCGTTGTGATTAATTCACCCAGACATCAAGACTAGGATAAGTTACCCAACAAAAATAAACTCTACTAACTTATGCTTCACTTCCTCCCATCAAGACTTTGTGGGCAGCTGACTCAGACCCTTCCTGTTCCACCTCTCACAACTTGGCCAGTTTATACACCAAACATAAAAGGATTACCTGAATATTAAATGCACCTAAGATTAAACTAATCTAATCTAACATTAATCTAATTTAACTTAACCTTAATCTAATCTAACTTAACCTTAACCTAACCTAACACTAATCTAATCTCACACTAATCTAATTTAAAACTAATCTAATGTAACACTAACCTAATCCAACCTAACATAATCTAACCTCACATAACCTAACCTATCCTCTTCCTTCCTTCCCCTCTCTTCCTTCACCCCCTTTCCCCTCTTACTCATCTTCCTGCTCCTCTCCCCTTCCCCTCTCTTCCTCCTCCTCCTCCTCCTCCTTGGGTTTTTATTGAACTTCCTTCAACTTTTTCTTCTTCTCCACAGACTTCCCGGATAAAGTTATGGCGAAAATTAATTAACCTTAATTCCTGTTTTACCTGTGTACATGTGGGTTACTACTGAGGCGCCCTCCCCCGCCCGTCACTCACACTGTTACTTATTCACTCCGTCACCCATTCTGTTACTCATGTACCCGTCATTTAATCTGTTGCTCATTTACTCCGTCACTCATTCTGTTACTCATTCACCCTATCACTCACTCCATTAATCATTCACCCCGTCACTCACTCTGTTACTAATGTACGTAACACAGACATACTCTAATGCACGTAATCTAATGCACGCAACACACACAATGCACGTAATCTAATGCACGTAACACACACAATACACGTAATCTAATGCACGTAACACACAGACGTACTCTAATGCACGTAACACAAACACGTACTCTAATGCACGTAGCACACAGGCGTACTCTAATGCACGTAACACAAACACGTACTCTAATGCACGTAACACACAGACGTACTCTAATGTACGTAACACACACACTACTCTAATGTACGTCAATGATGATTTAATGGTCATTCTTCGTCTCAGGAATGTTCGGCTGTAAACATGAACCGACTCAATCATTCAGTAGACTGTAATGTTCTCATGCACTCTGAACATAATCTAACTTAACCTAATCTAGTCTAACCTAACCTAACCTAACCTAGCCTAACCGAACCGAACCTAACCTAACCTAACCTAGCCTAACCGAACTTAACTTAACCAAACTTAACCTAATATATCCTAACGTAACCTATCCTAACTTAACCTAACCTAACCGAACTTAAACCTAACTAAATCGACCATAACCTAACCTAACCACACTAGCGTTATACTCATAGAAGACGCTGAGAAGAGACGATAATGTAGATGTTTCTTCACCTGGCCATTCTCCCCCGACAGGTGAGTAAGCGTGTGAGAGGCAGCACCAACAGGGAAGAGTGAACGTGCAAGTCTGACTGACATATTGAGTAAAGCCAAGAACTTGCATCATTATACTTCACAACAGGACTGAATGGGAACCGGGGAAAGCAGGGGTTGGTAACTTGTTTAGTGTGTGTGTGTGTGTGTGTGTGTGTGTGTGTGTGTGTGTGTGTGTGTGTGTCTTAGGGTCAAGTGAATCTTAATAATATCAAAACGGATTAAAACTCTCCCTCTCAAAAAAAAAAAAAAACACAATAAAACGAATAATATTTACATAAAAACACAAACATGTACTGTACCTTGTTTGCAGCGACAGGTTGTAAAGGTAAAGTCCCCCTCTTGTTAAATTACTTTAGTTAACCACACACATCATATTAATCTGTAATATATATTTTCTCCCATCTACTGAAGGTACACATACACGGACACACACGGACACACACGGACATACACGAATACACACGTTGTATAGTCCACGCTGACACCCGTGATTCAACGCACCTCACACGGTAGCAGATAGGAACCGACTGACACATACGACCTACAAACACTATGGGTAATGCCTCCCCTCCTGCCTCCCCCTCCTCCCACAAACACACTCATCCTCCCTCCTCACACACTCTCATCCCTCCTCCCCCCCCACACACTTTCATTACTCCCCTCTCTCTCTCACATTCTCATCCAACTTTCCCTTATAAACTCTCACCACACCTCCCCTTCCACATCAACTCTCCCTACTCTCACTCCCTCTCTCACTCCCTCTCACCTCTCTTACACCTCCCTCTCACCTCTCTTACACCTCCCTCTCACCTCTCTTACACCTCCCTCTCACCACCCTCTCACCTCCCTCTCATGACCACAAAACTCTCTACAGATGTCATCACTCCGGTCACCTCCAGCCGGCAGTGACGTGTGTACTTACGAAACATCTTTACCAGGGCAACCTACTTGTATCACAGTCTCTTACAAGTGCACTTTTTTCCACTTATATTCTACTTACTGTATATTTCTACTTATAAAACATTCTCCTATGATTGAACTTATATTCTACTTGTATTTCTACTTATAAAAAAAAAAAAAATTACTTTTCCACTTAATATTCCAGAGTAAAGACTTCATATTATTCTTTACTTATAAAATAATCTACTACAAGGTGACTTATATTCTGAAATAACTTAATTATAACTTTCTATTTATAAAATAATCCCGTACAAGAGCACTCAACTTTCTTCATTGTCTTAAGTAACCGGATTCACTAACACGCACTACTTTTACTCAATATTTACTAGGAAATACCCCCCATTACCCCCATTAATCACCCCCACCCGCCCCCACCCCAGCGTGTTACACCATGGCTAAGTTAAGAGCACAGGACAAATACTCACCGGACAAAATTTTATCCTGACTTAACCTGGCCGAAATTAAATTAAACTAACCTAATATTATCTTAATCTAACCTAACTTAACCTACTCAAATATTATCTTAGCCTAACCTAACCTAACCTAACCTAAATACTGCAACACAACTAATCCGATGAACTTTTGCGCAGGTGAGTTTTTGTCCGTCCACTTGGGCTCAAAGTTACCTGGTGCGTCGGAACACAGGAAGTGAACCTCGTGCACTGGCTGGCTGGCTGACTCACACACACCTCCGTTACTCGCCCTCACCTTCCTCACCTACTCACTCCTACACCACGTTAGACTAAGTGAAGAGAACGTTGCCTTACCTTACGAGACATAAATAAAATTATCTTATTCTTGTCTGGATTACCTGAAAATTAGATACCCCCTCTCTGGTTTATTTCACATTAAGATTAAACATCCTAAAGTAAGCACTAATCTAACCTAATCTAATCCCCCAGGTAAGGTAAAGGTGATTAATTAACAGGTGAGATAAGACGGAGGGCTAATCTTCAGGTGTTCCGCGTCTTGTTATTACTGCTTATTTATTATTATTATTATTTTTATTATTATTATTATTATTATTATTATTATTATTATTATTATTATTATTATTATACATGAAGAAATCTTTTTACACAGAACATTAAATTTGCTTTCTTTGTTTTATTGTTACTTAAACTTTCCCGAAGTATGTTTTTTTTTAAACACAAGACAACACACACACACACACACACACACACACACACACACACACACACACACAAAGTTAAACATAGAAAAAAAACTGAATAAAAAACACACAATAAGAAAAATACTGGACAAATAAATAGTACAATAGTTAATAACGGTACAGGTGTGTGTGTGTGTGTGTGTGTGTGTGTGTGTGTGTGTGTGTGTGTGTTACCTTAGTGCCGGTGTCTCCATCTCTCCACTACACCTGTCTCACCTCGTGTGGTAATACCTGCAATGAGAAATAATGGTCTAATTATTACGTCAATAGATACCTGGGGAGTTAAAACAGGTGAAGTCATACGATCACATAGGAGTATAGAAATTACCTTACAAATATGCCTGATTATTATTATTATTATTATTATTATTATTATTATTATTATTATTATTATTATTATTATAAGACATATAGCCAATACACCATACTCAAACTATCTAACCAGGAACGAGCTCGTAACAATGGTTTTAAATTAGACAAATTTAGATTTAGGCGCGAAATAGGTAAACACTGGTTTGGAAACAGAGTAGTGGATGAATGGAACAAGTTACCAAATATCATCATTAACTCGAATACACTGGATAGCTTTAAACATAGGTTGGATGCTTATATGAGCAATATAGATTGGGTGTAAATGGGACTGCCCAGTATGGGCCAATAGGCCCGCTGCAGTTTCCTCCATTCTTATGTTCGTATGTTCTAAAGAATAGACCCCCACTAACCAAACATAACCAAACCAAACATGTCCCCCCCCTCCTCTAGATAGCTTTAGGGGGATGGGCCCGGGGGGGGGGGACTAATCTTCAGTTGCCCCCAAAAATATGCACTTCACGACAGAGAGAGAGAGAGAGAGAGAGAGAGAGAGAGAGAGAGAGAGAAATCCGGTACCTCCCACTTGTATCGTAACAGCTGCCCCATATAGCATTCCTGGAAGACCATGGTGAGGGGGAGACACGAACGAGAGAGAGAGAGAGAGAGAGAGAGGCCACTACCAGGTAAATCTTTCACCGGATCTCATCTCTCCTTCAGCAGTATGGTTGAGTCACTCTAATACACCTCTACTTGTTCATATTTATCCGGGTCACCTTAAGATTAACCTAACCTAACCTAACCAACTTTTCTCATTTAACGTTAACAGGTGAAATAAACATAGGTGGGAGGGAGGAGGCACGCACGCACACGCACACACACACACACACACACACACACACACACACACACACACACACACACACACACACACGTTTATTAACATAGGTAATTATTAGGTAACAATTAATTATCATATCCGTCGGTATCTGGCAACATGTGAGATGATGTCAGCACTTGCTATATAAGGGCGGAAGGCGGAGTTGTGACATCATAAGGGTGTGTAGCGCATCCTGTGTTGAGACCTTGACCCCTCTGCCTCGACCTCCTTCTTATCTCCCTCTCAGGTAATACGTTAAACCGAAGCTAAGTATCTCCATGTTAACTTCTTGGTATAATAGGTTTAGTATTATTGTAACCTGGTTTTATATTGTATTAAAAAAAATAGTAATTATAATACGGTTTGAAGATTACTTAATGATTAGACATCCTAGATTCATTATCACTTCATTAAATACCCCAAAGTTACCTGGAGGTTAGGTTAGGTTAGGTTAGGTTAGTTTTAAAATACTTAATCCTCAGGTAAAAATAATCTGGTGTACCATAACACCTGGTAAAATAAACTAGTGTGTCATATCATCCTCTGCTTGACAACACCACCCTCAGCTTGACAACACCACCCTCAGCTTGACAACACCACCCTCAGCTTGACAACATCACCCTCAGCTTGACAACATCACCCTCAGCTTGACAACATCACCCTCAGCTTGACAACACCACCCTCAGCTTGACAACACCATCCTCAGCTTGACAACACCACCCTCAGCTTGACAACACCACCCTCAGCTTGACAACACCACCCTCAGCTTGACAACACCGTCAACAGTAACTGTATATTGCTCCTCTGAGAACAGGCTAATTAACTCGACACAAAGGTACACCATCAGTCACCACACCCTCTCGTCCCTCTATCTCTCTCTCTCTGTCTCTCTGTCTCTCCTTGTAACTCGAGACATCACAGAATATCAGGTGAGCTCAGCTGGTCTCTAAAACCCTTCACTATGGAGACGCCACTTGTAATATGTTATTTCGTTAACGCCAGACAATTTTATTCAGCTCAGACGCGACCGACACTCCGGCACTCTGGTTGGTATCTTGAATGAGGGAGCTGAGGGGGTAGGAGGGGGTGAGGGGTGGGGAGGGGAGAGAGGGTGGGAGGGTAGAGAGGGGTGGGGAGGGAGAGAGGGTGAGGGGAGAGAGGGGGAGGGGTAGGTGGGAGGGGAGAGAGGGGTGGGAGGGCAGAGAGGGGTGGGAGGGCAGAGAGGGTGGGAGGGGGTGGAGAGGGTGGGAGGGGAGAGAGGGTGGGAGGGGAGAGGGGTGGGAGGGTAGAGAGGGTGGGAGGGGTGAGGGTGGAGGGGAGAGAGGGTGGGAGGGGGTGACGGTGGGGAGAGGTGAGGGAGAGAGGGTGGGAGGGGGTAGAGAGGGTGGGAGGGTAGAGAGGGTGGAGGGAGGGTGGGAGGGGAGAGGGTGGGAGGGGAGAGAGGGGGGAGGGGAGAGAGAGGGTGGGAGGGTAGAGAGGGTGGGAGGGGAGAGAGGGTGGAGGGTAGAGAGGGTGGTAGGGGGTGAGGGGTGGAGGAGAGAGGGTGGGATGGTAGAGAGGGTGGAGAGAGAGGGTGGGAGGGGAGAGAGGGTGGGAGGGGGAACAGGAGTCAATGTCTACGACAGAACCACACAACTCACTCCACCATTGACCTCATCATCCACTACAGGTAAGGAAACAGGTGGGTGAATCAGCTCCTCGAGTACCTGTAGGAAACTATAGATTGAAGGAAGGTTATTGGAGGCGGGAGATGGTGAAGAGTGTGTATGTGGCGGTAATACTGTACACACACACACACACACACACACACACACACACACACACACACACACGCACACACACCAGCTTGTTTTACCTGACGATTTAACACCATAGCACTACCTTGGCGGTTAGGTTAGGTTAACATTAGGTGGTTAATCGTAAGGTTAAAAAAAATAAGTTTGGGGTTAATCTTCGCATAAAACTATAACAGAGTAAATATATTCAAGACTAATTGCTGAAATTACATTAATTTGTTTAATGTGAAAATACTGAAATATTGTGACCACGAGATTCATTATTACGGTATCTGAAAGTTCCATGAAGGAATTACCACATATTTTCAGAGTTCAATCTTTTTTTTGTGCATAAATAAGAAAAAAATAGTAGTAATAGAGAGACAGCCATTATCAGAAGAGATAGAATTACACAAATATGTCTTCCGGTAGGTTAGAAATATTACAGAAATATAATATAACAACAGAAAATAGCGGAAGAAAAGTCATTACGATAGTGTCAGAGAACTCGTGTGTGTACAATCAAAGACGACCAGGAAGCGACTCAACACCACGATCATGGGATTCCTGAACCTACAATTCTCGATGGGAAAAAAAAAACAAAAAAAAAATCGCATGGGCCTGATTTCCCGCCATTTCCGAGTAAACTTCCCACACGTCACATCCTCTATAGCGCTTAACTCAACACTTCATTCACGTATTGTTTTTGTTTTTAAAAGACTATAAAAAAAGCGACTAGAGACGTGTGTGTCATGGGTTTAAACATTCAAGGATATATTGTGCGCTAGACTCCAAACACACACACACATACACACACACACACACACACACACACACACACACACACACACACACACACATACACACACACACACACACACACACACACATACACATACACATACACACACACACACACACACACTTGGCACTCAACCCTCAAACGATACTTTCTCACCACCCACAACACAGGTGATTGTTTTAAGTTTGTCTCGACTCATTGTTGGAGAAATGATTACGGTGTTGGTATATATACAGTACATAACCAAACAGTGATAAGTAATGTTGGGCCACTTACTATGTCAACTAAAGATGATCGTCTCTTGTTTTGCCTCTGTACACCTCAACTATTTTTTTAATTTTTCTGACGCCGGAACATTTTAAAACCCCTAATGATGCTATTGTTGTTATTTTTTGTTATTGTTAGTGATATTGTTATTGATATTACTGCTGTTAAGTACAATAGAGTCATGTTATTGTTATTGCATTTATATATCCTACTACTGCTGTTGGTGTTATGGCTGCAATTTTATTTCCCTCAGTGTTTTCGATGTTTTCCGTTGCTATGCCAAACTCTCCCTTCAACTCTACATGTATTACTACAGTAGCTGTCATTACACCTTGTACTAACATCTTTGCAAGTGGTAAGCGTTTCTCGGGGTTATTAAAAGCTATCTGGCTCACACACACACACACACACACACACACACACACACACACACACCTGGGTAGAGCCACAACAGTATAAATAAACATTACATCAGCAACTCTTTACACGTTTTTATATGTCAACGACTAAGCAGGTAAAACTAGTTAGCTTAAGTGACAAGAACAGTTTCCAAGGCTAATTATAAATAATGTATTGGTTAAAGGTATAAAAATAATCATGAAATATGGAGCCACTTTCTCAAAATTTAATGAAAACCTGAACAGCGTTACTCTCTTATAGCCAGGCAGCGATGATGTTACTCAAGGCAAGATGACCACCAACACCAAACTCATTATTTAAAAATGTTTCAACCTCCATTATATATTAGGTTAAATTATGTTAACCTTTTGGGGTGTTTCAAATCTTCAAGAGGTGATTGAATTTAGAATATCAAAACAAGAGGCGATACTTTTACAAAATTGAGTAGTCACACATCAAAAACTATGACAATTACGTTTTCTATAAGTACTCCCACGGAAGACAACAACAACACGGAAAAACTGAGGGGGGGGTGAAGGAGAGAAGGAGGAAGAGAAGGGGTGGAGCTAGAGTTAACCTTAAGAGGGGGGGAGGGGGGGAGGAGGGGTTGTAAGCAGATACACATCCAGTCTAATGGTTGGAACAGTCAAGCAATTTGGCGAACATAGAGTCATGGGTTAAAAAAAAAATAAAGCGAATGTGAGGGAGAGAAATAGATGGGAATTGAAAGAAAGAAAGAGATAGATGGAAAACAAAAAGAAGAAGAATGAAAGACAG